AGCATGTTTGTTAAGCATATGTCTTTGGACTTTTCTGGTGCTGGTACAAACACTAGCTCCCAAACTACTACACATTCTACTTTTGAACAACTACAATTCTTATAACTCTTTATTTTTCTTATGAGCCCTTTTCCCATACTTATTGACTTATTTAGGTATATTCCTATTATTGATGTCTTAAAATTTGGTAGCAAAATCTGAATGATTAGTACAAGGTATACTTATATTAATGATCTGTTCCCACCAAAATTATGAAGTGAATATATACACACACACACACATATACAATTTGCAGTAGTAAGAAGGTATCATTACATTGTGAGGGAGGGCTGTATGAAAATATACATCGCCAGTATATTAATTTGCAAGCAGACATAGGGCATGGGTAAAAATTAATGGCAGTGAATGGAAAACAGATTCATATCAGTATAACCTAATTTCTTCAAGAAGTTTGTAAGGGTCTGGAGGAAGCAGGGCACTTATGTCTTGACGCTCTCATGCCATTGATATAGTTGATATATAATCGCCTGTGCCCCAGGGAAACACAGTTTAGCTCAGATGATACCATAGTTAGATGGTAGAGCCGTCACACAAAGGCACTGTAAAGGATACATATGTATTTTTAGAGTGTAGGTGTGGGACAGCTTGTTAACCTTGCAGAGGTTAGCCTGGGGCCCAGTTCTATTTCATCCATTTTAAGCCATGACCAGTGATGTATTGTGTGTGTTTGTTTGTTTGTATGCCAGAGATACTAGGAATAAAAATCAAAATAACCTGGATAAATTGAGTACTTACAAATTGGACAAAATCAAATGAAGGCTAATTAATTTTGTAAGTAGGAAGTTTAAAATGGAGATAACTGGCTTTGTGCCTGTTCCTGGCAGGAAAGGCCCCTGGGCCATGGTAAATCATGAGCCATCGGTAACTGTAATACTCTATATGCAGAATACCACATGCCATAAGTGTGATTAAGAATACTGATATGATACTGAGAGTAGGCAGAAGACACAGGGAAGGCTCACGGTGGCTAAAAATGTTACAGTAGAAACAGAGACATGTGCAGCAAGAGGGGAGGGCTTTGAAAAAGAACCATTAGAAGTATTTTGTATTAAGGAGGGTGGGCTAAAATGCTGTAAAAACAAACCAAAAATGTAATGGTTCAAATCCAGTACAAGTTTATTTCTCTCATGTAACAGTCCGGGATGGATATATCAGATCCCTGTTGGCTCCGCAAACGTGTTTAAAGACTGGGAAATGTCAAGAGAACCCAGGAACCAGCTTGAAAGAACTCTACGGGATGAGTTTGGAAATAGGCATTCAAAAGAATAAGGGTGGCAATGATTAAAAATAAGTCCATGAATCCATAATATATTTCCAGGGGAAAAATTACTAGCATGTAGAAGCAGAAGGAATCATAGAATTAGAAAATCACTGTTTTGTAATTCCCAGGATGATAATTGATTCAGGCAAGGGTGATAAATGGATGCTAAAGCTATTAGGTGAAACTTTGCTGTGGAAGAGCATAGTCTAACTGTCTCAGGTATTATCCTGGAGATTACTTATTGATTACAAAAGGTACCATACAGGGATATATGGCAGACAACTCCTTAATTAGGTGATCTAACTTCATGCGACCAGTAATGAGACAAACTGACATAACGGGATGCATAATTCAGATAGTATTCTTGCGGAAAACACTTATATGAGGCAACAATTACATGGACAAATCCAGACCGTGCAGTGTTCTACAAGATGACTGGACTGGAATGTTTGACAGTGTCAGTGTGTCGCTCTCGCTAGGTGTCCTCGTGAGAGTGGCATCATCTTTAAACCCTGCATGGCAATCCCTGACGCACTGCCATGCTGCCCAGGGAAGACTGGGTGACCTGTAAGTCCAACACCTTCCTTAGGATCATCCAGCTCCTGGTTGATTATCCAACATGCCTCATTGTGGGAGCAGACCTTGTGGGCTCCGAGAGGATGCAGCAGACCCGCATGCCCCTCCTGGGAAGGCTGTGGGCCAGATGGACAGGAACACCATGGAGCAAGGCCCTTCGGGGGCATCTGGAAAACCGCCCAGCTCTGGAGAAACTGTGGTCTCACATCCGGGGGAAGGTGGGCTTTGCCTTCACCAAGGAGGACCTCCCTCACTGAGATCAGCGACATGCTGCTGGCCAGTAAGGTGTCAGCTGTTGCCTGTGCTTGTGCCATGGCCTCATGTAAAGTCACTGTGCCTGCCCAGAACACCGGTCTGGGCCCAAGAAGACCCCCTCCTTGAGGTTTTAGTCATCACCACTGCAGGCTCCAGGGGCACTGCTGAACTCCCGAGGGACATGCAGCTGATTGAGACTGGAGACAAACTGGAGCCGTGACGCCACACTGCTGAGCATGCTAAATGAAATCTTCCCTTCTCCTTGGTGCTGATCACCCAGCAGGTGGTCAGCAGTGGCAACATCCACCACCCTGTCTCTTGAAAGGCAAACAGTACAGTTTAAATTTCTGGGTTTTTAAAATTTTTTTATGAGTGATGCTGACCTTTTCATATGTATAATAGCCCATTTGTCCTTTTTTGTGTGGGGATTGTCTCTTTATATCCTCTTTTGTTCTCTTTAAGTTTGGTAGTTCTTTCTTAAATGTTTGGTAGAATTCATCAATGAAGGTATCTGGACCTAGAGTTTTCTTTGTGGGAAGGTGTTTAAGTTCAAAATCAGTTTCTTTAATAGGGATTTTTAGGGATCTTTTTGAATGAGTTTTAGTGCCTTTTCAGAATTTGTTTCATCACAGTTGTCTCATTTATTGAAATAAAGTTATTCATTATAGTCCCTTATTATCTTTATAGTGTTTATGAGATCTGTAGTAAGGTCCTATCTTTCTTAATTTTAGTTGTTCTTTCTTAGTTCGACTGGAGGTTTATCAATTTTATTGTTTTTTTGTTTTAAAGAACGAGCTTTTGGCTCATTGATTTTTCTGTTGTTTTAAAATTTGTATTGTTTTCTGCTCTATATTATATCTTTCTGTTACTTTGGGTTTAATTCACCCTTCTTTCCCTTAAGGTGTAAACTTAGTTCACTGAATCAAAACCTTCTTTTCAATTATAGGCAAATAAGAAGATCAGAACAAAACAGTGCAAGAGATGTACTGGAAATTAAAATTGAATTTTGATTTTACCAATTTCCTAATACTTGCATTGTTGCTTTTCAAAGTTTATTTTTCTACTATAGCTTTTTAAAAATAGAACAATTCTTTTGTTATTGATTTAAGAAGGAAACATTGATTTGTTGTTCCACTTACGTATGCATTAACTGGTTGATTCTTGTATGTGCCTTGACTGGCAATAGAACTCAAAACCTTGGGAATGATGCTCTGACCAACTGAGCTACCCAGCCAGGGCTCTATTATAGCTTTTTAAGATTCTGATAAGTACTATATGTTAGCTATTAAAAATTTTCAAAGGGTACAGAGAATTATAAGGAATTGTATTAGGCAGGATAGGACATAAAAAATAATCACAAAATTCTTGCAGCTTAATACAACAAACTTGTATTTCTTACACTACACATCTGGGGCTTTGCTCCACAGGCACTCAAGGACCCAGGTTGACAGAGGCTCTGGCATCTTGAGCTGTACTGTCTGGAACACATGGCCTCTTTATTCCCTGGGCTGGGAAGAGACCACTGAGGGGACGCTCTTCTGAAAGTAAATGCTTTGGCCTCCTAGCCCATTGGTCAGAAATAGCCACATGGCCCCACCTAATTATAAGGGTTAAGGAAGTAAAATCTTCCTGTGGGTTTAGAAGCTGAGAAGCAGCAGGTATGGGTGAGCACTGTAATGCTATACCCTGGGGGTGGGGTGGGGGTGGGAACACCTATCTTCTAACTCTGAGATAATCCCTAGTTCCCGTCTTTCTGCCTGGTCCCAGTGACCTTCCTGATGGCCAGTCTTGTTTGGATGGGTGGAAATTACTCCTATGGTCTGACAGATCACTGGTTCACATTTTGTTGCGTTCTACCTTATCTCATGCTATCAATATGTGTATGAGACCTAGGAAAGGGCAAATCAAGAATCCCTCGCTAGTTGCTTTAACTGGTAACGGTGATTTTTATAAAAGCTTGCTTTAGAATCTCTGACAACTACACAAGTAACTGGTAACAGTGGTTTTTACCTAGGGAGGGACTAGATAGTGGTGAGTGGGGCAGAGGGGTGTTGAGGAGTGGGTAGAATGAGTTATTTTCACTGTATATACTTTCTGTAACTTCAGTTTTAGACTATGTAAATTAATATTACCTACTTTTTTAAAAACTCAAAACTTTTCTTAATTTTCTATATTGAATCTATACTATGTAAATAACTGAAAAACATCTATTTCTCTAAAAGTTGTCAGGCAATTGAACACCATTTTATTTATTTTTTTCACTGAATTTTGACATATCAAGCAAAGACCACATTTAAAAAAAAAAGTTATTTACCTTTTGGGGGAATACAATTACATTATCAAAATAGCTCAGTTAGCTGTGGCCTTGGAGTACCAGGAACCAACATAGTCACTCTCAGTTGGATATTACCGTTTTGGGAAAGCTCTTTCACATCTGTGCCTTGGGTCCCTTTCTACGTTTCGCCCTGAGTGGAGCCATAATTGAGGTTTACTGAAGATCACGAATTTTGAAATCAGACCTGAGACTGCACTTATCTTTGAACTTTAGATACTTAATGTGAATGTTGATTCTGCAGTTAAAACAGTTTGAAAACTGCTGGACTAGAGGGCCCCTTAAACATTACCTCTACTTCACTGACGAAGAGACAAAAGGGGGGACAGGTGAGGTAACCTCTTGAGTCAGAGTGAGACTCGGTTAACAACTATCAGCTCCAGCACTTATCAGTCATGCAACCTCAGGAAATGTGCTAGTTAACACCAAGCCCTTTTCCTCCTGGGGAAAAATAACACGTACCTTTCATGATGGCCGTAAGGATTAAGATGAAAGGTATGTAAAACCCCCAGACAAAACTTAATACATTATTTCTCCCACATGCTTTCTCCATTCAGGATCAGCAAATCCAGCTACTGTTCTAGTTTTATTTTCTGTACAGTCATTGACCAGAATGTTAACTGTTCATCTGCCCATCCTACTATTTCATGCACATGGTTTTTTTGTTAAACTTTTCGGAGGTTGCACAGCACAACTATCTGATTATAATACTATGAAGTTACTGTATTAAGTTTAATTTGTTACCTATTTTTAAAAAGTTATTTTTTTTCTCTCAAACTCGAATGTACAGAGGACTTTCCAAAAGTTACAGGAAATGTGATACTGCACCTGGTTTAATATAGGTGAGGATTCAGCTGTCTGCTGTTGAGCCAGACACAAGCAGTTTGTGAGATGTGAAACAATGCCACTTCACTCAGTTTTTTGGTTTGGGAAAACAGCAAATTTTCATTTTAAGAAATGTTATTTATGTTACCATGCAACAAGTGTCAAAAGGTCCTGTAATCACACTATGAGAACTGTGAGGTCAGACTCCGAAGCCTGTAGGTGAAAACCACAATGTAAGCAAGATTTCTGTAAATAGATGCCATGTTATATGCACCCACATCTCCGGTCTTTGGTGGACTTGCAACCTAAGTATTCCCTTTCTTCCTTTTGCTGGAAAAAAGATAAGCAATTAGTTACTGGTTCTAATCCCACGGAAAGTTGTCATTTTCTTTCTTTTTTAAAAATATATTTTTATTGATGTCAGAGAGGAAGAGGGAGAGATAGAAACATCAATGATGGGAATCATTGACCAGCTGCCTGCACGCCCCCTGCTGGGAATTGAGGCCCACAACCTGGGCATATGCCCTTGACCAGAATTGAACCCAGGCGGACACTATTCACTGAGCCAGACGGGCTAGGGTGCAAGTTATAGTTTTTCTAAGCAGAGATCTGGAGCCAGTTACATTGAACTCCAGTTACTAAGGTAGCTATTAATGATGTGTTACTGTGTTGTTTTTTTTTGTCTTCCACACAGAGCTTATTCATGTGGTATTTCAGTATGCCAGAAACCAAAAGTGAGTTAATTGAAGGCACTAAACTGAAATAAAATAGGAAGATCATCAGCTGAGAACGACCTGCTGGAGAAAGCAGAGTAAGTCTGGTGTGTTGTTAAGATTTGGGTTGGTAATAACTAGAAAAGCAGAAAAGAAATCATGGCTGTTTCCTTCAGGCCTGCTAATACTTCTGAATCGGTCAGATCACAATGCGAACGCAAAGATGTCTTGAAAAGGACTTCCACGTTAACTTTTTAAGTTGTATATGAAGTAATTTGAGTTGATTCATAAGTAGTTAAAACATTTTTTCCCCCAAGAAAACCGTATCTTATAAATCACTGACTCTGTGGAGTTAATGTGAACATTTTTCAAGGGAAAATTCGGGACAGGTAGCCTAACAAAAGATTTTTGTCTTGTCCTGGGGGGTGGTTGTTTAAAGAACAAAAGGTTGGAATACTGAATAATTTTAGTGTTTTATGGAGGACATGGAGTATAAGTTGGTATCACCTCAGAAAGTTTTAGTTCCCATAATTATGATATTCGGGAACCATTATAAAATAGCTCAAACTTCTCTTGATTGCTTTATATTGCCTCAAGTTGCCTATCTTCCCTCATCTCTAAAGTTCCTTCCAGCTTTACGGTTCTCTTACATATTCCATCTCAGATTTGTTTTGTCTTCTTTCTTCCAGTCCTCTTCTAAGGAGCTTCTGGGAACTGCCTTGGTGACTGGAACTGATCCTCCTCCACTTCCTGCCCTTTGGTGACCTTCCACAGCCCCCCAGATGCTCCTCCAGGGAGTAGCCTGCTTTTCTGCCTTCCCCTGGGCCCCACGGTGAGAGTCAGGAATGCAATGGAAACTTGGGAAACACCCCTTGGATGTTGCCTATTTAAACATGGATTCCTTAGCTTTGCTTATTTAATTTGCATTGCAGTTATTAAGGATAAAATAATTTTATACAGATAATTCTTTTTAAATTTTATAGTAAAGATACCTTTAAAAAAGGGGGGGGGCGGATCTTCATAAATATGAACCCAAACTGTTTTCCTTCCTCACCTCCATTCCAAACCAACATTTGCTATTTAAAACAGCTTGTTTTTCTTCTTGACACTGGAGGGCTTCGAGTGGTCTTATCATTCCAGCCATGCTTCCTTATCCAAGCACCACCACTTACAAAGCCAGTGTCATTTGTCAAGGTGGTTAACCATGATTCCGTGCCATTATTTACCATATATCAAATCTGGAATGGAGCTTTTCCGGGAGAGGGTCAAGTTAAATTACGCGATATATTTGAGTATAGAAAAAAATTTCAACGTACAAGAGAACTTGTTTCATTGATTCTTAACCGATACACAGAATACTTCACAGCCATCCTCTGGAGCTTGTTTCATTGATTCTTTTAAACCTATAGTTATTAATATGGGTATTGAATGATTTTTTAAACTGTTTTTATATATACACGTGTGTGTATAGATAGATATGTGAGTTTACAACACTGTGGAATTTATGGCCATGAGTATGTTAAAGAAAAAATTGTTCATGACCTTTGTTGAAGAATGGTAAGGCAGACCTTATTCAGAACTACTGCAATAGGTATAGGGGCCACTGTGATGAGGTTCTGCAATAACAGGAAGAGACTGGGCTTCACTCCAATACAAGTGGGAATTCATAGCCAAGAAGCAAGGTGTGGGGTCAGTAGATGAAATATTACTAAGGAAACATCAGGGGCCAGGGGATTCTGGCTAAAGCCTAACAGGATTCTTGCTGAAGGTAGTCAGGGTGATTAGACATCACCTGGGGCATGGTGAGAGATGAGGACCTGATCAGATAGCGAGGGAGATCAGATATTGAGGATGAGACATGCTGACTAACCTGACTTAGCAGGATTCTTGCTAAAATTGGACTGTGATAAGATGAACACAGAAGTCAAATGTCAGGGCCTCTCTTCTCAATTAGGACTCTGTCAAGTTAATAGAACTAATAGCTTTCTCCCACTGAATTTTTTCTCCTCAGACAATATCCTCATTACTCCTTTGAAATTATTTAATCAGATATCTGCTTTTCAGCAAATTCAGTTTTTCACGTTTTAGTCTTGACACTCCCTAACTTTTTTCCTTAAAGTTTGAGAAATTCAGAAAGACCTATAATACTACATAGGATTAAGTCAATGTGTACCTTCTAAGTTTTTCTATGCATGTATAATGTCTTAACAAGTAATGACATACTTTTGTAACCTGCAATTCATTTAAACATATTATGGAAATTTATATTATTTTAAACATGTAACATATTCATAAGGCTAAACATTGAACAAGTATAGAAAGGTGGAGTGAAAACAGTCTTCCTG